GCTCAGATGCCCAGGCTGGAGTGCAGTGGTGCGATCTCGGCTCACTGCAACTTCTGCCTCCCAGGTTCAAGCAATTCTCTGCCTCAGCCTCCTGAATAGCTGGGATACAGGTACCCACCACCACGCCCAGCTAATTTTTGTATTTTTAGTAGAGATGGGGTTTCACTATATTGGCCAGGTTGGTCTTGAACTCCTGACCTTGTGATCCACCTGCCTCGGCCTCCCAAAGTGCTAGGATTATAGGTGTGAGCCACTGCGTCCGACCTCATTTTCTATTAAAATCCATGTAGGCACTGTAGAGACACCACACAGGTCTGGCCCAGTGAGATGACTGTCAGGTCCAGGCAGTCACAGGAAGAGATGCAGAGGGTATCTCTGTCTAGGCCAGGGCAGATGGCTTTGGATGCCATCTAGTCAAGAATTACCCCTTCCTTTGTCTCTTCGAAAAGAGAATGAAATCAGGGCTGTAATGGCCTCATCTCTGCAGCAACAGGCTGGAGGTGTTGTGAGACCTTCGTAGTAAAGGGTTGCTGGGGAAGGGGAGGGGTAGGGAAAGGTGTTTCTGGTGTAGGGGCTGACAGCTCATTTCTGAAGGATGATATGGAGCTTCATTCAAATGACTGCAGGGCCCAGTAAGTCAAACTGAGATCAAGGTGGCCTGTCTCCCTGCTGACCTCATCCTTCAACCCCACCCCTAAGGTTCCCTGGCTCTGCCCATTTTTCTACCATTGTATTTGGCCCTCCAAATCCCTCATCCCCTTTCCTTGAACTTTGTCCCTCAGTGCAGCTTCTCCCTCAGCACATACCTAGGGACTGTTCTTTATCCCTTCCTGTGGACTTGTTCTTCAGCACTGACTTTTCCCTTTGTTTCTCTCTTTTTTTTTTTTTTTTGAGATGGAGTTTCACTCTTGTTGCCCAGGCTACAGCACAATGGCGCAATCTTGGCTCACCGCAACCTCCACCTCCCAGGTTCAAGTGATTCTCCTGCCTCAGCCTCCTGAGTAGCTGGGATCACAGGCATGCGCCACCCTGCCTGGCTAATATTGTATTTTTAGTAGAGACAGGGTTTCTCCATGTTGATCAGGCTGGTCTTGAACTCCCAACCTCAGGTGATCTGCCTGCCTTGGCCTCCCAAAGTACTGGGATTACAGGCGTGAGCCACCGAGCCTGGCTTGTTTTCTAAATTTTATTGAAGTGGTGCCTGCAGGGTAGGATGGTAGGGGAGAGTGCTTTGGGAGGAGCCACAGAAGGCTCTGGAGGGGCTACTTGCCACCTCTGCTACTTGCCCAACATCTGGGGAACAAGGATAGAACCTCCTAAGGTCAGTTCCAGCTGTCACTGATTCCCTACCTTCTCCCTCTCTGAGGAATGGCTCTACTTCACTTTGCCACAGTTTTAGCATCTTAGAGGTCTGCATTTATAAGCCACTTTCCCATAAGCCTTTGTGGGAGTGCTCACTCAGTGCAATCCCAGGGGTCCTAGTTTTCTGCAGCTGTTCCTTTCCATCATCACTCCATTTTCTCCCCTGCCTTGTTAACCCTCCTTTCCTATTTTGAGGGTCCCTTCATGCCCTGGCCCCAGGAATTCCTCTTTCTAGGCCTTGGAGTAAGGTGAGAATCAAGATCTTCACAACTGGCTCCAGTGATTCAGATGCTGGGCCCTATGGTAAACCTCTCTCCAGGAAAGAAACGGGTGAGGGTGGAGCGAGGCTTGGGCATTTATAATGAGTCTTAAGGGGGATCATGGGCTCTCAGAACCTTAGAACTCAGGACTTGTGAATCCTGTGTAGGTCCTGGAGGACTGGGATAAAGCTGGGTTCAGATTAGGGATCCGAGGCTGCCACCATTGGGGGAAATGAATCCCAGTGTTCACTCTGACTCCAGGTGATTCAAGGGCCCTGATTCCCTAGGGCCATATTTGATTAGGAAGAGTAAGCCCAAAGGAGTGGTTATGGAATGATGAATGTGTGGGAGGGAGATGGTTAGATGAGGATTTGAACTTGGAGGTTCCAATTCTGTGGGGGAGGATTTTGTGTGGTGGGAGGCTGACAAGTGAGAAAATCTGAAATGTTCTAATAGATAATGGGAAGAGGTATCTGTCTTTTGAAATATCCAAGCTTTTATAGATTTCTATGTTACCTCTTGTTCTCAAGCTGAATCTATACTGAAGATTTAAAAAATCTGGTATATCTGGGCCAGGCGCAGTGGCTCACATCTGCAATCCCAGCGCTTTGGGAAACTGAGGCTGGCAGATTACTTGAGGTCAGGAGTTTGAGACCAGCCTGGCCAACATGGTGAAACCCTGTCTCTACTAAAAATACAAAAATTAGCTGGTTGTGGTGGTGGGTACCCCTAATCTCAGATACTTGGGAGGCTGAGGCATGAGAATCGCTTGAACTTGGGAGGCAGAGGTTGCAGTGAGCCAAGATTGCACCACTGCACTCTAGCCTGGGTGACAAATCAAGACCTTGTCTCAAAAAAAAAAAAAGTTTTTAAGTCTTAATAAATGTTTCATGTAATTTTAACTAAAATGTACACAAATGATGAAATAGAAAATGAATTTACTATTTTGTAGTAAATTACAAATTTGTTAAATACATCTAATCATCTTATGCCATTTCATATGGGTATAAATAAACATTTTTAAATGTTGGAAGTTATTCTCTTATAGGAAATAATGGTCATATGGATGTTAGTTTTGTGTCTGGCAGATAGTATAGTAGTTGCACACAGTGTGTATCTTTTTTTTTTTTTTCACTACCAAATGTACCTTTGGAAGATGAACCAATCCTTAAAGC